GACACGGCAACGTCATGGCCATCTACTGCGGACGCGAGTGACGTGACTCACGAAGTGAAAATATAACAAACGGCGATTTGTTGCAGATTGCATTGGTTAAACATTAAATTAACACCCATTAAACACTAAATTTTCCGTTGGTACAACTTCCAGATTTTTCCCAGTAATCAAAATTCGGTACTTACGTATTAAACGGAGGCCACATTTTGTCAGCGCGCTGCGGCGGTTATGTTAGGTTGGGTTATCATAATAGAAAGTATAACTCGTCTGGTATCGTTCGATTCATAACGAAGCGAGGAAAGTCCTACACACATAATATTTACGATAACCCAACCTAACATAACCGCCGCAGCGCGCTGACAAAATGTGGCCTCCGTTTAATACGTAAGTACCCAAAATTCAAATAATGTACTGAACAATTCTTAGTTTTCCCGTTTGGATGGACACCCTGGCATTATAGCCAGTATGTTTGCGAGAACAAAGTTTGAACCCAATTTATGAAAAACAAAAAAAAAAAGAAATAAGACATCATAAAAAAAATTAAAACCATTGGCTAAACAATTCAAAACTATATTTTTTTGTGACAAGACAAATTTAGCCAAAATAAATTTCAATCATATAATTGTTTAATTTCATTGTTTACATATTTAGGAAAAATAATATTAGTTTTTGACCATGACCTGAGAGTCTAAATGTGCTTAGGTCGATAAAAAATCAAATATTTTAAAAAGGCTACTATGGTTGTTAATTTCTAGAAATATTAATCACCATAGTCCTAAAAGTGAATATTATGATTGCCAAATGAATTTAATAGATAACCTCACAGTATATAAATTTTCACCACACTATGATGTTTTTGGCTGTATTACATACGTGAATTGGTGGCTGAAAGTTACGTTTTGCTGGCCATGCCAGCTGTCGCCAATTTGGGGACCGAGCAGGTTTTTACAGGCCGGGGCCGCAAAATCATCTGTCCGCTTACTTAATTAAAACATGAATGCGTTTTAAATACACAATCAAAATCCATAGCATTGCAATATAGAATTGTGTTATTGTCACCGTTGCCTAGCAACTATTTATTTATATTTTTGCTGATTCCTCAAATTATTTCTTCACATAACCTTAAAGTTGTAGTTGTGTTGACGATCAGTGTGCATTATAGTGGTGAATAGTGGTAATAGGGTATAGTGTGGTGAAAAATAGCGTTCGTACCACGGACCGAAATGGTTTTGCAGCTCTCGGTAGATTTAAGTTCTCGACTTCGTCTCGAACTTAAAAACTATCTCGAGCCTGCAAAACCTCATTTTCGGCCCTAGGTACGAAATATACTATTATTCAGTATCTAGATTCTTCATCCATCCTGACCTCTAGTGTCACTCGATATTTAATGTTCAACACACAATCCCAGCTGTAAGAGATGAGGTTATCCAAATAGTTTATGACAATTTTACTATAATAGTGATGATGCAACTTTATATTGAAATTCAGTTGTATGCAAACTAGCTGTTGCCCACGGGCTTAGCCCCATTTGACTTCATAATCATTAAAAAAAACTATTGATTGGTTTAAATATACAAAATAGAATACAGTAATACAAACAAATATCACACCTGATTTTAATACAATAACAAATTGAAAGAATAACATACCGGTACAAATAAGTACAGCTAAGGTAATTTTTTACATTAGGTATATGGAGTTCCCTTTATAAAATAAATTACGACCTTAAAGGACAATTTATGAATTTTATGAATTTATGATAGTTTTGCGCAAGGTTTTTCGTCATGACGAACATTTTAAGTAAATGGTTTATGGGAGTGTGACTTTTAGTTTGATCAAAAGTTCATGGGTACTTTGGGATCTATACATGGATATGCGACCTTACAGATGGCTGACTAGCTTTTTGTTGGAGTGAAACAAACAATTTTATCAACTGGACTTGCAATGTTATGTACTAAGTTAAAAGAGAGTGGCAGAACTTTAACACATGTATAAACCTGGAACAAAGAACAGTTAACAGTTCACACCAATCACATATCGATTTGGAACAGCAAGGTGCATACGACTGAAACAATCCCGGGACTGGTATTGGTATTGGTTAAAATATAAAAAACAGTTAAGGGTCCCTTCCAAAGAAAATTATATGTACTTCCATTGACTAGATAATGCAAAGGGAGGTGATTTAGTGAGCTATATAATGAAAATCTGCAATAATTGGAAGAACTTAGCATGAATCAGATGTATTTTGTTGAGGTAGAAATACAAATACAGGGTGTCTCAGACCACCCGGCCGGCTTGTATAGCTCCAATATGAAAGCAAATGGAAACCTAATTGCAACTGGAACCCCCTATTTTGACCCCAAGGAATTCAGCTAAATTATTTTCAACCCCAAAAAAGCACCCCAAAGGGCAGATTTTGGAGGGTGGGGGTGGTTTTTGGGAAATTTTCAAATGTAAAGGGGGGTCGTGTTATACCTCTTTTTAAAGGTCCTTTAGTCCTGAGTATTTTAGTGGAAAAAGATTTAAATTATCTTCATCCCTATTTACAGGGTGTTCAAAAACGTACAAAAAATAGACCTTTGAACTACTTTTCACTGTAAAGAGGTGGAATTTTGTGGGGGGTTCAAATTTTGATAACACTTTAATTAATAAATGAGCTTTCAAAAACTCTGGTTTCAACCCTTTTGCTATCTTTTTACTTATGTTACGCATTTTCAAACTTTTTGAAGTTTCAAAAGCTGTTATCTCAAAAATTTCAAATGGCAACATGGGTTTCATTACAAACCCCATTGTAGCCCTTGAAATTTGCTATAATTTTTGTATTTAATGTTTTTTGGTATCTTCATTGGTTAAAGAGATATAACAAAATTAGTGTATTTTAATGTTTTATTGGTATTCAAAGTGTTTGCTGTTGTAAATGTACACTTCTAGGTCTCAATTAAAACTAATTATGTTAAAAAATTAAAATACTACCCAGATTATTAAACTTGGAGGATTAATAAAGGGAAAAACACAACTGCAAATATTCTTAGTTATTTTACAATTACAAAGTTCTAATAGTGCTTTGAATGAATACTGTCTATAAATGCTACTGGTAAATAAAAAAAAATCATCATGAAATCAATGAGCGTGTGCATGAAACTGGTCACGTTTGATTAGATAAATCAAATTATAAGGAACTTACTGGATTTGTACGAGAGGTGAATGCACCTGTGGTAGTAAAACAGCAATACAGTACCATAATAGTGGAGAAGAAGTAATACATGCATAACAAAGTTGGGGTTTGCATGGAACAAAATGGAAGGCAATTTAAGCATTTGTAGAAGTCCATCAGTATGTAGGCTATTAATGCTGATTCAAACAAATTATTCATTCAAAGAACTATTAGAGCCATGGAATTGTAAAATAACTAAGAACATTTGCAGTTGTGTTCTTTCCTTTATCAATCTTCCAAGATCAACAATCTGAGTACTATTTTATTTTTTTAGACAAGATTTGTTTTAATTGAGACCTAGAGGTGTACATTTGCCACAGTAAACACTTTGAATACCATTTAATAAACCATTAAAATACACTAATTTCGTTATATCTCTTTAACCAATGAATATACCAAAAAACATTAAATACAAAAATTATAGCAAATTTTAAGGGCTACAATGTGGTTTGTAATTAAACCCATGTTGCCATTTGAAATTTTTGAGATAACAGCTTTTGAAACTTCAAAAAGTTTGAAAATGCGTAACATAAGTAAAAAGATAGCAAAAGGGTTGAAACCAGAGTTTTTGAAAGCTCATTTATTAATTAAAGTGTTATCAAAATTTGAACCCCCCACAAAATTCCACCTCTTTACAGTGAAAAGTAGTTCAAAGGTCTATTTTTTGTACGTTTTTGAACACCCTGTAAATAGGGATGAAGATAATTTAAATCTTTTTCCACTAAAATACTCAGGACTAAAGGACCTTTAAAAAGAGGTATAACACGACCCCCCTTTACATTTGAAAATTTCCCAAAAACCACCCCCACCCCCCAAAATCTGCCCTTTGGGGTGCTTTTTTGGGGTTGAAAATAATTTAGCTGAATTCCTTGGGGTCAAAATAGGGGGTTCCAGTTGCAATTAGGTTTCCATTTGCTTTCATATTGGAGCTATACAAGCCGGCCGGGTGGTCTGAGACACCCTGTATAGCAGTGAAACATATTTTTTATAGTCTGAACAATACGTAAACAGTAGTAACTGATGGTTAACTGTGAATAATGTAATTTTCCGTTGTTGGTTATTTAATCACAAACTATTATCACAGACAATATAGTAACCTGTATTGTCTGAACTATTATCTTTTTATTTGCCTCTACATTCACAAATAATCTCTCTCTAAGACATGACAAGTAACAAATACAAATACAAACGCTTTGTCTTCAACCACAGAATTTCAATAGGCTAATGAAAATTGCCGGCACAATAAATATTTTATATCACCTTAGGCCTAATTAGTAAAACTGTCAGTGGGGAGCCAGCTTACATCCAAATTACATTAGTTATTGTTATATAAAGGACTAGGATAGTATCATTGACTAATAGTCAAAGATAGTATTTAAATTGCAGCCTAAACACAAATTACACAAATTGAATACTGTACTTACAAATGTATTAAAAAGCAAGTAATAGGTTTTAACATATAAATGGGTTTACTGAATGTTTAATTTCTGTTCCTTAAGTTAAATGTAGAGTATATACAGCACAAAATATAATAGGTGTTGTTCTTCACCAATTTATTATTCTATAGCTAAACTACTCTCTGAAACTGTTAATTCGAAATTATTATAAAAAAAAACGCTGTTTCGATTATCATAGTAAGATTCGAGTTTAAAAACAATACACAGGTATGCACAAATAATGTTTATTTTAACATACTAATTATGCTTATCATCAGGTTTCAAAATATTTCTGAGATTATTATTGCTTATGTAGTTCATAAAAAAATTTACATCCAGTATTAACCTACCTCGGTAAAGTTATTTCCAATCCAAAGGTTTTGGCATACACGGTCTGATTCAGTTGTTTGTACACAATATCTACACAGGTCCGTGTGATGAACGTAGGTCTAGCCAGAGGGTAGGGCCCCGGGACAACATGGTGCGTGAGGCGTGCAGCGGCGAGGACGGGTATCGACTGCCGTGCCAAGCCAAGACTCGGCACTAGAGCAGCCTGCGCACCACCACCACCGCCGTCACCAGCTTAGTAATACGATAATTGTAGTGGGTTGCATACGATAACATGCTCACTGCTCACCAAACCACCACCACTAGCTCTGTCCTGTCATAGGATAATTATTGTAGTGTTGCATACGATAACATGCTCACTGCTCACCACCGTCACCAGCTCTGTCATACGATAATTGTAGTGTGTTGCATACGAATACGATAACATGCTCACTGCTCACCACACCACCACCACTATCTCTGTCATACGATAATTGTAGTGTGTGGCATACGAATACAATAACATGCTCACTGCTCACCACACCACCACCACCAGCTCTGTCATACGATAATTGTAGTGTTGCATACGATAACATGCCCTCTGCTCACCACCGTCACCAGCTTAGTCATACGATAATTGTGTTACATACGATAATATGCTTACTGCTCACCACCGCCACTAGCTCAGTCTTACGATAATTTTCGTATGGCATACGATAATATACGGTTGGTAGACCTAATGGCTCGACTGGCAACCCTGGTCATAGCCATTAGTGGAGGATAAGTAGGCAAAAGTCGTCTGATGCGTGATTTTAGTACATTGTACCTTTTTGTTTTACATGATCACAATTTATTATACTTTTTAGATAAAGCCTATAAAATATACTCATTCAGATGGTATTTTTAAATAATTATTTATTTTATTAGATTTTGGCGAATTTCCCTATAGGGAAGTAGCTATTACCGAAGGTGGCACGATAATACCTAGACCCGGGACCGATTTACTTTTTCATTTTGATGTCCCCAGAGGCCAAGCACACCATTCGATATATATATATATATATATATATATATATATATATATATATATATATAGAGAGAGAGAGAGAGAGAGAGAGAGGGGAGAGAGAGATTTATATAAATATATAAAAAATGATAAACAATTGCATAGACTTATATATATAATACTAGCAGAGTACCCGTCCTTCGTACGGGAGTGGCATATAAGTATAAATTGCTTAGTACAGTTATACTCAAGCTTAGCGTTTGCAATGAGGGAGGACAAAGTATGATAAAATTTGTTTCTTTAAATTTACGGTATACTATAGTAGGCTATTACACATCTACAATAGTCATAATGTTCTACCACTTCACCCAAACAATAGAAAAATATAAATTATTAAATATTCACGAAATATCACAAATTATTCGTGAAATTAAAAACATAAACATAACTGTAAACAGACAGTTCCGGTTCTCATTGTGTATCACAGTTTTTTGTTGCTGCTTAGTTCAAATTAGCTGTTTTCATAAATGAAAAAAAAATAATAGTGCTGCATCCTGTTGGTAAATCTTATAACTTTTAATGCCTTTGCATATCATAGAACCAACCTTTTTAGTTGAAACAGCTGACTAAATTCTTTAATTCCATTTAAATATGAGTACTCATAAGGTTAACATGGGAAACTCTAGAGTCACTGGGGCGGAGCCTGAAAGGATTTTTGAGATAAAAATATGCCTATATGTTAATCGGGAATGTGAGCTATCATCATGCCAAATTTGAGCCCAATCCATCCAGTAATTAATGCGTGATTGAACTTCAAACACACAAACTTTCACATTTATAATATTAGTAAGATTACTAGCAGAGTACCCGTCCTTCGTACGGGGTTGGCATATAAGTATAAAATGCTTATTGCAGTTATACTCGATCTTTGCGTTTGCAATGTGAGAAGACACGGTTTGAGAAAATTAGCTTCCTAAAATTTACGTTATGCTATAAAATTACAAAAGTATTACACATCTACCATAGCCATTATGTTCTACCACTTCACCTACACAATAGAGAAAGATAGATTATTAAAAATTCGCTAAATATCACAAATTATTCATGAAATAAAAAAAAAACTGTAAAAAACTGTAAGCAATCCTACTTTGACAGTTCTCGTTGCGTATCACAGTTTTTTTGTGGCTGCTTAGTTCAAATTAGCTATGTTTATAAATGATGAAAAAAAATAATAGTGCTGCACCCTGTTGGTAAATTTTATAACTTTTCAATGCTTTTGCATAACATAGAACTAACTCTTTTAGTTGAAACAGCTGGCTAAGTTTCTTTAATTTCCTTTAAATATGAATACTCATAAGGTTAACATGGGAAACTGCAGAGCCACTGGGGCGGGGCCCGAAAGGATTTTAAAAATAAGAATATGCCTATATGTTAATCAGGAATGTGAGCTATCATCATGCCAAATTTCAGCCCAATCCAACCAGTATTTTTCGCGTTTACTCGTCACAAACATACATCCATACATCCAAACTTTCTCATTTATAATATTAGTAGGATAATATACTAGCAAAATAGCCCGTTGTGGTTAAATACAACGGTCTCTTGTAAAATAATGGCTATAAAATCTATTCACCACTTACTCACTAATATCAATGGTACAGATTAAGCACATACCATTAGAATCACACATTTAACATAAGGAACAAACTTTTCCTACAGTTACCTAACAATGAACATGTTCTCTCACTGATTTGAGAAAGCAAAGTGGCCAATTTGCTCATCAGTGAGACAATGTTAACATTGTCTCACTCTAATTACTTGGTCTCACTCCAGATTTGCAACGAGAAAGCACGAAATAGTGAGCGCGTAACATGCAGGCAACGTCGTATGCGCGCGAAATACGTTGGCAGCACTGGCTGTAAATCAGCTGGTCAGCTGTTGCACTGTTGTATTTGTCACTTCACATTAAATGTTATATTAAAAGTCCACTTCTGTGTAAAAATAGGTCATGTTTCTTCACCAATTTATTTGTTTTATGGTAACTGTAGGAAAAGTATAATGTGCAACTCGAGTTCAAAGTACAATTGCCTCACTCCAGAAACCATTCCGTGAGTAAGGATTTCTCTCGAGTGAGCCAATTGCTCACTTTTCTCACTAGTTGCACAAATAACTATTAAACACAAATGCAAATTGTTAACAACAACATTTAATAAATTAAATAACACTATAACAATAAGCTGTTAAATTATTAACACGTGTTTCGTATGATTAGATTATGCATACTGGTAACCCAATTATTGTCATCTATAAAAATTATTGGTTTTTCTTTTCCGAGTCGGGTTATTTTGGCCTTCAAGCATCGGCATTCATTTTGATATATATTTCGAGTTGTGCACAAACTGCCTCCCTGTACATTACTTATGGGAGTAAAAAAATTTTTTCTAGTTTGTTTGGCTCTTCTACCCAACCGATTTTCATAATTTTGGTTTTAAAATAAAGCTATGCAAGCACATATTTGTCATCAAGCATCATCATTCATTTATCTAACGTATTACTCGACGAAAATATATAAATGTGATTTTTAGATTTTTTACTTAAATTAAAGATGTATTCCAACAGTTCTAACTACATTACCCTATATGTTTTGATCTAAAAACCTTTAGAGAAATACCAGCATTCATTTGAGCTATTTATTATTAGGATCGGACTACCTAAAGCACACTGCTGAATCACGAATCAACAATAATTATAATCGTTTTTGTACTTACCTGCAATCAATGATACGTAACTCTATTTATTTAAGTTATTTTATACGTCTTGGTCTTCAAATTCTTCCAGAAATAAGGGCTTTTAATTGAGAAATTGATAGTTTTATTCAGTCAAGATACTGTATCCCTCAATCAGAAAACATAAATTCTATTATATATTGGATATGGAATTTAGTTTTAGATATATTTTCTCAATTCTAATTACGTTATCCTATTTGTTTTGACCTAAGAACCTTCAGTGAAATACCAGCTTCCATTTGAATTATCGGTTATTAAGATTGGACCTACCTAAAGCACACTGCTAAATCACGAACAACCTAAATTGTTCAAAAAGTTGAGCCATTTATCATCGATTTATGGTAAAACGATCTTATTTGCAACCTCAACTGACGACTTTGACGGGTTTCACCTAGTAAATCTAAAAAAATCAAACTTTCTTAATTATTTGAAAATCTACACGAATTAGGCTTTCCAATGACCTATTAATTAATAAAATTGGTTCAGTAGAATTGTAGATTTACTTGTACAAAGTTTAACAACAACATATTTAATTCGGTATTTTCTCACCACTATAAATTTGTAGGTTGCTTAACGTTTTTGCAAATAACTTTGAAATGGTGAGGAATTCGACCAAAGTGGAAGGTGATATTCTGATAGAAACAAACATTTCCTACAAATTACTATTATGTATTTCTTGAAAATACTCAATAAAGGTAGCCTAAAGTTAGCTACAAAATATAAACTTGGAAATATAAACTTGGAAAAAGCTGTTCTAAATGTATTATTGTTTATTTTTTCACTTCAAATATATAATAAAATCAAACTTTCATAATTATTTGCAAATCTACACAAATTAGGCTTTCCAACGTCATATTAAGTAATAAAATCGGCCCGGTAGAAGTCTAGATTTAGTTGTACAAAGTTTAACAAAAATATAGGTATCTAATTCAGTATTTTCTTGACACTATAAATTTGGGGGTCACTTAGCTTATTGCCAATAACTTTTAAATGGAGAGGAAATCGACCAAAGCGGATGTAATATTCTGAAAGAGAATAAAATTTACTACAAATAACTACTATGCATTTCTTGAAAAAACTTAATAAAGGCAGCCAAAAGCTGGCTACGAATAGATACTTGAACACAGAAACTTGAAATAAGCATTTTTTAATGTACAGGGTGTTTTTAAAAGAATGCCGGGATTTCAAACGGTCATTGCTCAGGGACTTCTCAAGATAATTAAACGATTTTAACGTCAAATTGAAGGGAAAAGAATAAAGTTTTTTCCTCATTCATTCATACAATTCGGAATGATTTTATAAAATTCAGATTTTCATCAATCTTATATGAGCGTAAAACTGGCAAAGTCCTTACGCTTAGGGCGATCTGATGTCTTAACTGAATCTTTTTCGGCACAAAAACTCTATCTTTCATAGATAACATCATAAAGTGGCCAATTTAGGTTTGTTAAACTGAGGACTTCGTCGGGCAATCGATTGTTTTGGGCTTCTGATGGAGAATTGTCGGATTTCTTCGACTATGTCATCGCCGGCCAGGTAAAAACAGGTGTATTTTCAAAACACGTCGGTGCCACGAAACTCGTTAAACCAGCTTCAAGTTTCTTGGTCATCAAATAGATTTAAATTTAGTTTAATTTAGCAATAGATACAAACTCTGC